TGGCGCTGGGAGAGTGGTGGGGGGGGGGGGGGGGGGGGGGGGGGGGTAGAGACTTGTTGATTAAATTGGTTCTTTAGGACAAGGCTAGGCAACCTCAGCACTCCAGCTGTGCAGGAACCACAAATCCCATAATGCCTCAGACTCTGGGAGTCGTGCCTGCGGCTGTCCGGGGGTCTTGCAGTGCTTCATGGGACTTGTAGTTCCACAACAACTGGAGCGCTGAGGTTGCCCGGCACTGGCCTAGGAGGTTGTTGTGGAGATGACTGTAATGTGCGTCGATTCTTTCCTTCATGTTCAAATGAAAGGAGCGTCGCAGGCCGGCCGTCATCACAAATCCACAAAGATAACAAAGTAATTTTTTTTAATAGAGTTTGTCTACTTCCTGCTCCAGTTCCGGCGCAAAGGATGTCACGTGCCCCAGCGTTGCTTTGTTACTTTGTCTGCAGATTGGATAAAAATGGAAACGTTTTGTGCCGCACAATGTTACAGAAATGAAGTTGTTTGCCCTGGAAATGTGATAATTGTTATTTCTGAATCAATAGGCCCAAATACTGCTCGGCCCCATGAGGGGGGTGCCGGGGTTGAAGGGGTTAATAGAGGGGTGAACAGGTGCCGGGGGTGAATAGAGGTAGTGCTGTTTTCTCAAAATGGAGGCTACTTCTAAACAGACCAAACTGGTTTTTGATGGTATGGCTGCCCTGTATTTTCTCCCATTATTTGTATCACAATGGGATGGTGTTATGGGGAAACTGTGTACACAACCAACGCCTAAACTGGACAAGGCTTTGTCACCATTGACTACTAATGCCAACTCATGATGCAACTGTCACCTAGAGCTGTAAAAAGTGAAATGCAGGTTGCATAGAGACGTACAAGTCTTGAGGGGCACCGCCCACGGGTGGCCTGCAAATTTCTCTTAAAAGCCAGGAGCCTAAAGGTGAAGGAGAACTTCAGAATGGAACTCTGACCAAGAGGACTCTCCATGCCACTCTGAAACAAAGGACTTGGACGCCAGAGACTGCAACCAGAAGCCATTTTCCTGCAAACGCTTCATTGCTAAGAAGTCCTGTTCATTTCTGGAATATGCAGCTGTAAGGTATTGTTTCTGCTCTTGGAAACCATTACATGTACTAGAAGTGTGCGTGCATGTTTGTAGTAGCCTGTGTGTATTTGTCGTTTGCTTTTCCTGTAACTAAGTTTGTACATGTGGCATTTTCACCTAGTAAAGTACTTTAAATGCTTCTGGGTCACTTTCTTTGAGCTTTACTGCAAGAACAGACAGCAAAATAGAATTATTTTTTTCTCCAAGTAGTACAATTAGGGGTGTGTGGGGGGTGAAGGGGTTAATGGGGGTGTGTGCCGGTTTATTGAAGGGATTTGTTGTTTGTTGCAGGTTATGCGGCACGTATCCTCCTTCGTACAATCTCACCTTCATCTCCTCGCAGAACGTCATGTTCGTGACGCTGGTGTCAGACGACAGAGAGAAGCATCCCGGATTTAAGGCGGAATTTTCTCAGATCCCAAGAACGACACGTAAGATTTTTTTCTCATGGGTGTAGCATGATTCCTCAACCAACGCGTTTCACCTTCTCAATCACTCCAGACGCTGTAGAAATGTCAGATGATTGTTGTGTGATCTCTGCGCGCGGGATCCGCCCAGCTGCGTGAGTGACAGCTGGCTCTGCCTATCTAGAGGCAGAGCCAGCTGTACCCGCCCCCTCCCCCGTCCGTTCCGCCAGTCAGCGCTGGAGGATCGGAGCGGGGAGGGGGGAATCCAGCCCCTCCCCTTTCACGGCAGAGAGCCGTGACAGGATCGAGAGGTGAGCGAACGCCGGTATGTGTTCTCTCACCTCCCGATCTACTGAGCCGACCTGTGACAGTCTCATTGTCACACGTCGGCTAGAACTATGAGGTGAGTGACAAGCCCCTCCCCCTCATAGTTCTCCTTTTAAAGTGTATTCTTGTCGGCCTTTGTTGGGTATATATGGATACAGGCATCCCCCCATCCCAGCTACAATGCTCTGCAACGTCCCATGCAGTAAAGTTAGACAGTGCGGGTGATGTCTAGAATTTGACCTCCAGCTCTGTGTATCAGCCAGCGCAGCGAGGGGACGAGGATGTTATTGTGGAATTCTCCGGAGATCTCGGCCGGCTGGAAAGTTCCTCTGAATGGTCTGCGGCCTTTTCACCCCCTTGTGTCTTCCTTGCAGTCTGCGGAGGAACGATTCGGGACGCCAACGGAGTGATCAGCAG